ATATTTATAGAAGAGATATATTTTGTGTTATTTCATGATCTATAATGTTTTGTTGTATATTCTCACGACTGTTATTTTAACCAATACCTTTATGATATATAGAAAAGAAGACTTTCTTTATTACGTATAATATAGAAATTCGTATTAATTATAAAATCTTATTGGAAGCATTTATTATAATTTTGTTTTGATCTGTAACCTATAGGGTTTATAGAAAATGTATGTGAATGTGTTTGATGTTTACAAAAATGGTAAAAAAAATATTTTGATGTTTGATTGTTCATAAAAAATTAATTGTATTAAGTACTTATTACGACACAAGACAATGTAACTGAGTTTCATAAAAATAAACACGATTGCTTTCCACAGTCTTTATATTTTTAATTAAAAACGAACTCTTAAATGTCCTTAAAATAAGGAAAATCGGATAATGTTATTAATTAATAGCACACAAAATATTTTGATGTTTGATTGTTCATAAAAAATTAATTGTATTAAGTACTTATTACGACACAAGACAATGTAACTGAGTTTCATAAAAATAAACACGATTGCTTTCCACAGTCTTTATATTTTTAATTAAAAACGAACTCTAAAATGTCCTTAAAATAAGGAAAATCGGATAATGTTATTAATTAATAGCACACATGTAATGTAAATTGCATAAAAGCGAGCATAAATAAACAATTTATTGCAACATTTAATATACAAGGTGAATCTTGATTGAGTATACAGAGTGGCCCTTAAAAAATGACTTAAAATACTGATCAGGAGTGGTTTGAAGCAAACGGAGTTCTTCAAATCTCTAAAATGTTTCTAATTCACTAAAGTTCCACAAAAATAAACCGTTTCTACAATAACTTTTCTCTAAAGTCAAGACTGTGATTTCTTTTTGGCAAAGATTGAAATAAAACAAAAGCAGAATTAAAGTAAGGATAACTAATGTCTTTAAATTGTTAATATTTTAATTAGGAAATAGGTATAGTTATTACTTTTTTACCTTCCTGTTTTGTGTTACATTTTATAATGTGGTTACAGTACAATAAATTTTTTTATGAGTAAATTGATTTAGCAGTCTTTTCTAAACGAATGAAAGGACAAAAGAAGGCTGGCAGAGGCAATTTACATGAAAAGGCAAGCGGTTGCTCTTAATCAAGAGGTTAAATAGATAATTGGTAATTTAAGGGCCTACAACTAGGCAAAATTTAACTAATAAGCAGTTTCATCGTTTTTGGATAATAAATTTACCTCCGGTTTTAATAAACAAACAAATTTAATACATTCTGATACCAAATTTATTAATTATTCAATTAATTATTTGTCAGTCTATAAAAAAAGTAGTATCTACAGTATGCCGATAACAATGCAGTAATACCTGGTACTAGTAGTTGTATTGCTATATAAAAATTCGTCAATTTATACAAAACAATCATCCCAATTAAAATTTATTGTGAAACTTGACAAAAGTCCTCTAAAACAGATGAGTAACTTTACAAATTTCCTGTTTAGTATGTGCGACGTAATCAGAACAAAAAACAAACAAAATGCACGTATTACACAAAATCATTCTTTTGTTTCCATTTTTTTGACCTGATTGTGAGTGAATCATTTTTTGATAAAATAACGACTCAAAGACAGGATATTGCCGCACTTGTATGTAATTCGTTTTCTACTTGTAGCTTTGGATTTTATTGTTTTTTTGAAAGGGGCCATTTTTGGGTCCTTTTCCTTATTAAATTCACTGTAACACCAAAACACAACAGTAATACAAACATATTTATTTTCTTGTTCTAGGTACTCATTAATTAACATATGCCTGATGTGTTCTAAAAACATTACCAAACATTTAAATTACTGCCTTTTTCCTAATCAGACTTACTACGTGATAATCAGTGCTTTGTTATTGTTCTGTTTTTTTCTCTTCGTACCCTGGAGCAATTAACAGGTACCAAATCTGTAATTTGTTCCCATATTGGAACACCCTGATCGTGAGCATAACTACTTATTGTATTATATCTAGATACATATGTATATTACGAACACAACTCAAGAAAACAATATTCAATGCCGTTCATGACTCATGTATAATTACATTTGTATGCATGTATATCATCACATATGCATAAATTCATGTATAAATACCTTTATTACCTTAATTATTGTCAATACAAAAACGCTGGTATATTTTTTCGCACAATTACATTTTACGACAGGATTCATATATAAAATTAAATACGTAAATCGATTAGGTATATGTATTGTAATAAGAGTTTCGTCAAAGTTAAGGAAGACGTCATCAGTAGTGGGATGCTTCTCATGACTCAATTTATACGAAAATTTTCCAAGAAAAATTGAATCGTGATGTCATTTTTTATTAAATACATGTAAATATATTCATGTAAAAAATGCCTACAGCTGATTGTTTTCTATAACAAATAATTTTATAAATTCTCTTTAGTTTTAGCTAGAAGTTTTAAAACTATTTGTACTTTTTAGAGCTAAACATTTAATTCATCTGTAATGATTAAAAAAAAAAAGTCCAGCAGTTCAGTGTGAATCAATTTTACTTGAGGCANAGTTATTCATAACTCATAATACAAACATTAATAACAAGTAGGTATCTTACAAAAAAGTAAAAAAATATGATGAAAAACAAATATGAAAGAAGAGAAAAACAATTTCAATTCAAATTCTATACTGTGCTAGTTTTTGTTTTAAATGAAAAACATTTCTGATATGGTTCATTTAAAAATTATTATCAAATTTTCTTCGGCGTGGAGAAAAAAGAAGTGAACTCTTTTTAAAGCACCTACTAATATCCTCACAAAAAGATACGAATGTATTTCACTGAGGAAAATTGCATTATAAAAACAAGGCGTTTAAGATTTAAGTAATAATATGTTTTGAAACTTATATAAAAAACTGCTTGCGATATGCTTGAGCAATTGCGAGCAGCATGTTAGTTTATTTAATATGTACTTTGACCTTTTTAGTCCTTTACACGAAGCATATTTTTTAAACTAACTGAGGCCATGCCCATTATATTTAATATATTTTATAATAACAGTACCAAGAGCATTATATTTAAAAGGTAAATGCTTGGTTATTGTATCTTTATATTGCATGGTATTTGCTATTACTAAGAAATTAGAAAAGAAATATATCTGTCATGCTATCTAAAAAATGCATTCAAAAATCTATCATCATCCACAAAAAGATTATTGAAGAATCTGCAAAATTCACGTAATTTTATTTCTTCTGTAAACATTGTTACGTTGTATATTTAAAAATGTAGTTGTTGTTGTTAAAAAATATGCCTATCTGTTCCCTTTTTAGTTGTTTTAGTCAAGTGAAAGTTGTATACACCTTTGGGCAAAGTAGGGCAAATAATATGTACCTAATGCAATATGTACTTTCACAAAAAAAGCTTTTCTCGTAGGTACAACTGTTTGCTGTAAGAAAACCTTATTATTATTATTACTTCGTTACCTGTTAAATGTAATAGAGAAAAACGAATAGCCGAATCATAGGGACTTGTTTAATAAAAACGTACAGTACACAACTGTATTATAAAAAGAAAATGTATTTATCATCATCATCATAAGGCTTTGAAAATAGTTTTTAAAAGTAAACAAAGTACATATATTGAAATTAAAGTTCTATTCACATGTTTTTGGAACATTGGAGAAGACTGAAGTAATGGTCGAAACATTTATAAACAAAAAATTCTACACTGTAATCATTACAATCTTTCCTAACATTCATTGTAAGAATAAATAAATATTTTCGTTTCGATTTGTTGCATATTTTTTTTTCTACGGTTTATTTCAATTTAGAAAAACCCTTTTGAATAAAAATTGAATTGAAGTAAATAATTACAGGAAGTGGATACTTTTTAGCCTTGCTCATAAAGTGTGTAGTATTCAAGGACCTTATCGCGATTTGTACGTATTTTTTTATTCGGTACAGTTATTGTAAACAATGATTTTTCATCTTTATATGTACGTATGAATCGTTAAATCGTGTACTTTAATATATAATCCATGCAATGTGCGTAAATGTCGGTTTTTGAAACCAGCACTGCTGTTTAAACCGCCTAGGCGCAATTGAAAGTAACGAAGTATTCGTAATGGTCAGGATATCTATAAATTATGAGAACCAGTTATGCAAAAAATATTTTAAATAAGTTTTCTTGTTTGGTTTCAGTACCACGCCGCCATTAGGGCCATTTTTGGGTAACTAAACATTCACCAATAACGTAAAACAATTACAGTTACTTATAAATAGTTCAAAAATAAAAAGTTCATTTTCTTTCGTTATAAAAATGAAACAGTTACGGTTTACAGTAAGTAATCCTATTTCTTCATGATAGGAGAAGTGTAACCTTTGAACAAAAGTGTGTTTTTCTTTAACCTGACTAACTGAATGACGCACAATGTTAGATTCATACAATAAAATGATCATAAGAGTCATTAATATTATGTTCAGTTTCATGAAGTAAAACTGGATAGAGTTCAGTTAAAGAAAAAGTAAAATTCCACGCCCAACGTGAGGGTGGGAGTCAGATTAATTGTGGCCCGTTTCCTCTTTGGTTTGTTGCGTGCTTAAGTTATGCTTCATTTTTTCGTCAACTACATAGCGCGAAAGTTGTTGAGGTTTTAGTGCATTTTCCGAGAAAATTTTAAAAATAACAATGACAACATTAAACATTTATTGTGTTGCTGCAATTCTAGCAGTCTTGGCATTTGTCGAAAATGGTAAGTAAAATTAAGTTTTTCAAATTCATGTTCCAGGGGGTACTTTTAAACACAAAAGAAACTTTAGCGTTTTTTGGTCACTAACAATAGTAAATTAAAAAGCTCTCCTCATAAAGCTCCTCTTTACTTTTTGACTTTTTTTTTAAAACAAAATCTTTTTTTTTCCGTGTAAAGTTGTTTTTAACGCAAGTTTTGACGACAAATACAAGTTTTCTGTTGTTTTGGATCGATCATAGGTACTATTTTCTGCGCGCTTCTTTTTTTTCTCAATGACAAACAAAGTAAACAACTTTTTACTTGTCGATGGTCATCATAATCCATCGCTAAAGCTATTATTAAAGATAATGTGTATTATTACATAACAATAAAATCTTGATTAGTATACAGGCTTGTAGAATATGACGTACCTATCTAACTTATTGTTTATTCAATATCGCATGCTATAAATACAGTGACAATTGAAACAAAACTTTTATATAATTGTCACAAAATTAGTACCTAAATTATTAATGTATTACACAATCGACTATCTTGTGAAAAATATGAAAAATTACTTGTCTCTGAATTCCAGGTGCAATTTAATTAGTATAATTTAATTATTGGGTATGTGCTGATCGCTAACATATGAGTAACGAACCTTAATTGTTTAAAGACTGCATTTATTTCAAGAAATATATATCAGTAAAAGTTTTACATTTATTCCGATATATTAGAAGTAGGTTTTCAAATAACGAACATAAGTTTGAAGTTGAAAAATTCAAAAAGCTTTTCGGGACCTATCTCACGAGTCAAAACGTGCACAGTTGTTAATTTTACAGGCATTTAAAACGTTTGAACAAGAATTAACTAATGTCTTTGTTTTTCAGAATATCGAACCCAGTTATATTTAAACATTGATGTAAACTTGTTTTGATAGATTTTTCTTTTAGTATTTTTAGTTTTTTTTTTAGTATCTATCATCTTGAGCGGGTAATTTTTTTAATAAGGCTAGACCATCAATCAATAATTATCTAAATTGGCCATTAGTTAAAAACTGGGTTAATCCATCTCATAATAATTTCCTGTTCTATAACTAAAGACCATTTTAAAAATAGACTAAAACGCTATTCATGTTTTTCGATAAATAATAATTTATTTATTACTTCCAATCCATGTCAAGTTTTTTAGTACCTAACCAATAGTTTTTTGATGTTTATAGGCATATATAATGTGATCATCAAAAACCAAAATTTCTTTTTACTTATTATTACTTATTTTTATTAGATTACCTTGAACGCAAGTGGACGCTAATCATGTACCATAAATAATAAGCATTTTACGTTAGCAACGCTGAGGTTTTTAATTTATTTAAAAAGGTTAGCAAATATCAATGTTTTTATTTAATTGTATTATACATAACTGGTTACTTCATCAGGTACCTGTGGCGATTAGCAAGTTAATAAAGATTTATGTAGAAAACCTGCTGAATATTTAAAGTCATCTTTAAAAATAGGCGTTTGTAGAATTAGCTAATGTTTTGAGAACTACAAACTAACAAAAACATAAATTCGTTTTGTAATATTGTTAAACTGAGAGTAACAAAATTTCCTTATTGTCAAATTTTTCTATAAAAGAGAAATACTGGTTTCTTTGTAAACATTTGATTAATTAAATTTAACTTCTCAATTTAGAAACTTCGGAGAAGTATTAGAGTTGAGCGTTTCCTAGAGTTTCTGCGATAATGCGTTTATAAATCTAAATTAATATTGATTAGATTTTGATTGATGACAGACGACAGGGGTAAATATTAAATAAGATACATTCGCACCCTAGCACGAGTCGTTGAAAGAAAAATAGTAGATGATGGAAAAATTCCCCATTTACGTTTTGTTACTCTTGATTGGTTTTATTGATTTCTAAAGTAGTCGAAAGAAAAATCAACACTTAAAGCAAAATATCAAAAAAAATCAATTTTCATTTAAATTAGGGTTGTCAAACAAAGATGACAGTAATTATGGTTCGTTAATTTGAAGGACTCAAAAGGATAAAATACAATAAAGTTCAACATCAAGCAGCGTTAAGTAATGTGTAGCTTTTCTTTAAAAATGGATCGGTTAATTAAAAGAAGAAGATTGCAATAAATTTTGTTTAGTTATAGTAGTATTATATTTATTTATTTATATATGTTACCTGTGGATAACACAACGTGTAAGGTGACCTCAAAATTAGTAAACAAACAAAGTCACACCTTAAAAAGTTTTTCAGTATTGATTATCTATTTAATATTCACGAGCCAGTTTACTACGCTTTACTCTCATTTATAAATATATGTATATACAATAAAGCAATAATTATTTATTTAAAATTAACTAAGCACTTGAGGTGTAACGAATTGAATATAGAAATTGCATTTTTAATTAATCGGAAAATAAGAAAAAACAAAGTAGGTCAATAACTACACAGTAAGATAGTCAAGGATAGTACGTGGAATGAAAATGTAAATCGTATATCTTTGAGATTAAGAAAAGATTTTTAAGTCAAATAGTTTGAGAACAATAATTGAAACAAAGATTTTTTATTTTTTTTAGTAAATTGTAACCTGATTGGACCTTTATGTGACAAGGGTCTCGAAAACATGCCCATAATATTTTTACGCCATTTCATAGAATCAGTCGTAAAAATTAACGATCAATTTCACAATTTTGTGAATGTGGGTTTGTAAACTATTATTTGTTTATGTCAAATGCGTAACTAGTATTTATAGACTATGTTTTCGAATATATTCTGTAGATCTCTTGATCAAAATGGTGCATGATCTAGTAGATTATACACGTATAATACAAACCTAGTGTAGTATAAGCAAGGATGACTAACTGAAAAGTCAAGGTAAATTAAAGCGAAATACTTCAACGATTCTGTCATTGCCGGGAGTAACAATAACATCTAAAAAATAAAAAATAAAGATTATCCTGACACATTCGTGTTGCACCCATAACATCGACTGTTAGTTTTTGTATTCTTAAAATAATTATTATAAAAGAAAATCTGTGGCGCTACTACTGTATTAATTCAAATTTCAAGATGGCGGTTATACGAGAAGATGGCCTCTACGTTTACGAGTTATTATACCATTGTTGTATAAGTAATTGCGGCTCGATAATTGTTTTCGAACATGATTTTTTAATTTTAATTTACAGAAGCACATACTGTGTTTATGAGTTTTGATGTAAATGCATTATATCGAATACAATAAGTACAAAAGAAAATGATTATTCGCTGTAACAGTAATGGCGGCTAAACAGTAATGGCGGCTATAACAGTAATGGCGGCCTAACAATTGTTTTCAAACACGATGTTTTATTTGTTTAGGGGAGAGTCTTCGGTGCTGGTCCTGTTCGTCAGATACCGGAAATCTATGCGCAGATTACTTCAATTCAACCCAATTTTCACGTCTCAGTAGCTTCTACTCCAACAATCAAAACTACCAGAACTATCCTGTGTTACAAACTTGCGAAACCCAAGGATCCACTTATCCTTACAACCAAAACGGAAGGGCGGTTTGCATGAAGAAAAAACAAACCAGTAAGCATAATTATTCGCTTTCAATCAAAGACGTTTATAAAAATATAATTCATTTTTAGACTACGGCAGGACGAGTTACATTCGCCAGTGTCATTTCCTGCAACCTGGGGAGCAAGTTGGAAAATGCGCCCAAGAAACTACCCCCCGAGACGTTACTATCGATTTCTGTGAACTTTGCGACGTAGATGGTTGTAATGGAGCCACAAGTATAAAAACAACCATGTTTTGGATCGCACTTCTGCCTTTAATGGGAGCATTAATGTTAACTAAATAAAAACAACAATAATAATTTGCACTAGACAGTTACCATCCCATTACAAAACAATAAAGTACCTTATTATGAATAAACAAATATTTAATAACACATAGAAATAGTTAAAGATTCCTTTAATGTATTTGTCTAGTCCTAAAAAAAACAGTATTTTTGAATTTTGTTTGTGCAGAATGCATTTATGTGTTGCACTTTTTGGTAAAAAACAATACGTTTTGTTAGTTTTACATTTATTTGACTCTCAAATAACAAATACAAATATAGTTATAGGTGTTTTTATTTTCAGTTACAACGAAGTAAATTTCACAAAAATGTGTTTCCTTATTCTTCTATTGTTAAAGCTTTATACGTTACTTTTTACCATTTTTTTTGTTTGTAAATATGTTATAGGTAGATATGTTTTAAAGTTAAGAATATAGACAATACTGAATATCTTTTTATTAAATTTTTAATTAATCATATAATAATGTAAAAGTTCTAATTTTCTTTTTGTAAGTACGTATGTACATCACGTTTGGAGTTCAATTAAAATTAAAATCGAAATAAAGTCAAGTATTTACGAGTGTTTTATTGCTGTTATTAATGGGTATTATTGCAGTGTGTAAGTTTATTGGTAGTAACAATATTAACATACAGTAGAACGAATTCTTTTGAGAGACGAGATGTGGGTAGCATTTAATATCGTTAAAGGTTTTACATTATAGGGTGCATACATTATAGAGTAAATACTCCCCTATGTTTAATTTATTAAAAAATGAATTTATTATGTTAAACAGTCTGTGAATGTAGATTAAATTGCATGGAAAGATTCATACGGGATGTTTCTCAGAAACACTTTTTGACTGATATACAGGGTGCTTTTACAAACATTAGGGACAAATTCCTTATTACTTAGTCTTAAAATATGAAAACGTCAACAAGATGGCCGTCGGTAATTGACTAAAGAGAATGTGGATGCCACAGGTTTATACAATTTATTAGTATAATTGAATGAACAATTAAATGCTGTTTTAAAATTAGATAATTTCAATGCAGAAGAACAATATTGAAGTGTGCGTAGTCTTAAAATATGAAGACATCGACAAGATGGCTGCCGATAATTGACTACACAATGTGGCTGCTACAGAGTTGTACAATTTATTGGATACATAGAATGAAAAGTTATACGATGTTTTAAAATTAGATACTGTAATTTTAATGCCAAAAATCAATTTTGAAGTATGCGTAGTATAAAAAAACAAACACATCGACAAGATGGCTGCCGTTTTTTAGATGAATAAAACATGGCGGCTACACAATTTAACAGTTTACTAGTTTTATTAAAAAATTCAATTATTACGCACTGTTCTTATTAAATAGAAGCAAATTTACCAAGCAAACGTTACTGTAGAAGCAGATATCGATTTAAAATTTCTACTCGGCGTCGACTACAACACAGGCAACCCACCTTTACCTGATTTTACCGTTGTTGGTATTGTCTACCAACGAAGAAAACTTAACTTACCTGCTTTTGTTCGTATTAGTTTGCTTCGTTTGCTCGTTGATTCCTAAACAGGTGTGTCCAGTCATGTGACTGGAATGTTTAATTACTGCTGTTGACACTAATGAATGTCCGCCGATGTCATAAAAGTTGTTTCTGTCAATGTTTGTTTAGTGTTTACTTTTAGATTAAATGGTAAAATATTTATAATAACGTGATGGATATCAAGTGCATCATTTTCGCAACCGTAGTGCTTTGTATATCGTTAATTAATTCCGGTATGTATCGCTTCTCATTTTAATTCATTAGTCATTGATAAAATTTAGGTTGAGTTACACCCAAAACGTTCAATTGTTTCAATTAAATTGATGCTTAAATTATTTCAGTGGATGCTATCAAATGTTGGGACTGCAGATCGGACGCAGATCCAAAATGCTCCGATCCGTTCGATAATTCCACATTCGCTATAACCGATTGTCAACAACAAAGATTGGAATTTATCCCTGATGCAAAGTCAACTATGTGCAGAAAAATTAGACAAAAAGGTTGTTTAATATTAATTTAAATAGCGGCGAAGAAGTAATATCCATTTTTTTTAAATTTATTTTTAGTCCATGGTGTTTGGAAGTATATTAGAAGTTGCGCCTTTTTGGGGGAACCAGGGATAGAAGGAGATGAAAGGTTTTGTTTAATGAGAACAGGGACTTACAATATTTTTATGGAATATTGTACCTGTAACAGCAAAGATGGATGTAACAGTTCAAGTTCTTTAAAAGGCCTTCCAGTAATTGTTAGTTTAGCCTCACTCTTCAGTATTTTGATGGTCCAGATTTTTAGATGAAAAAAAAACTCATATTTCATTTTATTTTTGTTTTCGTAGTTCATCAATATCCAATGATTTTGGCTGTACAACGATATTTGTACAAAAAGAATCTCATATTTTCATCAATATTAAAAACCAAAAAAAAAAAAACAAGAAATACGTCTTTATCCTGTTATAATTATAATAAGATGTATAATTAAGATATAAGGTACAAATTCATCGTTAGTTTAACAATAATAATGTAGAAAAATC